ACAGAATGAGAAGTGTAAATGGAATCCATGGATAGGAGATAGCAAGGTGTTGAGCTGGATGAACACAGCAGGCCAAGCAGCATCAGAGGAGCAGAAAAGCTGACATTTCGGGCCTAGACCCTTCTTCAGAAACGCAAATCAGAAAATGATTTTCTGAAGAAGGGTCTAGGCCCGAAACATCAGCTTTCCTGCTTCTCTGATGCTGCTTGGCCTGCTGTGTTCATCCAGCTCTATGCCTTGTTATCTCAGATTCTCCAGCATCTGCAGTTCCTACTATCCATGGATAGGAGGTTGGCTTCCATGATGGCCTGGGCTGTGCACACAACCTTCGGTAGTTTCTTCCAATTCTAGGCAAAACAGTTGCCGTGCCAGGCCATTATTCACCCAGACAGTATGTTTTTTATGGTGCATCTGTAAAAGTTGTTGAGAGTCCTTGTGGACATGCTGAATTTCCTAAGCCACCTGAGGAAGAAGAGACGTTGTTGCGCTTTTTTGACCATTGCATCTACGTGAGAAATCCAGGAGAGATAGTCAGTTATTGTCACTCTTAGGAAGTTGATGTTCTCAACCCTCTCCACCTCAGCTCCATTGATGTAGATGGGGGCGTGTTCTCCTCTTTTCTTTCTGAAGTCAACGTTCAGTTCTTCTCTTTTGCCGACATTGAGAGAGAGATTGTTATCATTGCACCACAGCGCCAAGCACTCTATCTCCTGCCTGTGTTCTGATGCGTCATTGTTTGACAGCCGTCCTACCACGGTGGTGTCATCAGCAAACTTGTAGATGGCGTTCTTTTGGAATTTGGCTACACAGTTGTGGGTATACAGGCAGTACAGTAGAGGGCTGAGAACGCATCCTGGGGGGTCTCACGTGTTGAGGGTTATCGTGGAGGAATGCTGTTGTCTATCTTGACTGATTGTGGTCTGCGGGTCAGGAAGCTGAGGATCCAGTTGCAGAGGGTGGAGCCAAGATCTCGACCATGGAGTTTTGAAATTAGTCTGGAGGAGATTGTGGTGTTGAAGGCGAGGCTGTAGTCAATGAGTAGGAGTCTGACGTCGGTGATCTTGTTATCCAAATGTTCCAGGGATGAGTGTAGGGCTAGGGAAATGGCATCCACTGTGAACCTATTTTGTCAATGGTATTTTATTCCAAGCAAGATATTGGAAGCTCTCAAGCGGACCACCTCAAGCTTTTTGATGAATTGTAACTATATTCTAATGTTAATAAAAAATGTTAACATTAAATTGAATTTGCATTCAGCTGCTGGCATATGAGTGGAAAAGAGTTGGCTTGCTCACAGTGCAACTTAAAACTATGCCCAACTCAAATTGACACCTACAATATAACCATTCTCAGAGACACAGAACAGTCAGCAGTTTGCTCCATTAAATTGTTCCTCCTCTTTTCACTGAATGTGGGAAAAGTTGTTACTTTAGATTCAATGATGACTTTCAGAAAGGAAATAAATGTTTAATTGTTAAGGAATATGAAGCTAATCTTGGGAGAAATGGAAGGAAGTGGAACTGATTGAACAGGTTTTTCTGTAAGTCTCCACAACTGTGAAAATCAGCTCAGCGTCACCTGTTTTTTTTTCGTTTAACAGTCTGAATGTGCAGTTTTGACTTCAAAACAGTACCTGTAGCTTGGACGCACAATTTTGGTGCTTACATGCTGTTTTGCTGAAGGAGTTAATACAATGCTGACAATGTCCGCTGAAGGTTTTTAGAGTGGGCAGAGTGTGACGTCACTCAGAACGTAATGCTGATTTGATGCCAATGGTACAATTTTAGGATCCAACATTCCTGCTGACGCCTTTATTTAATCCCTCACAGCTGGATACTCTTTAGTAGCAGGAAGGACCTCCTCCACAATGCCTATTTAAAGGGATCATCAACCACTTCAGACATTTTCTGATCAACTTGTTCAGAGATGTTATTACAGACCTCTGGAGCAGATGGGACCTGAACCTGAGCCTCCTAGTTCACTGGTGGGTACACTAGCACTATGCCACAAGAGCCACTAAATCATCAATCGCTTTACAAGTTTGTTGCTGATTGATGTTTACTGGTTGTTACTGCAATTTGAGAAATGGTTAGTGAATTCTCTATTTCATTCAGATTTCTGGAAGGCTACATGGATGGTCTGGCTTGAGCAGAAGGACTTTCTCCGGATTTGAGCAATTTTCACAAATCACTAGCTCACAAACTTAGATGTAATAATTTCCCACCTTTTTTTGTACTAAAGCATGGCAGGAAGAGTAGACACAGGCAACATAGAACAGGATAAACTTTTAGAAGAGGGAGGACGAAAATGGAGAGAAATGCCCTGAACAGGAGGCCATATCTGACCAAAGAGTTCCAAATGAAATTTGCTACCTGAATTTCAATGAGGAAGTGCATAAGATACCTCCACTTCAGAAAGGAGATCCTGGTTGAAATCTGCTAAACCACAACTACTGCCTCTGTTCAAGGTGAGGACAATAGTTCCAATGCCTTGAAAATGACCATGGCTTTTTTTTTATTATTCATTAATGGGATGAGGGTGTCGCTGGCTTAGCAGCATTTATTGCCATTCCAAATTGCTCCGAGGGCAGTTCAGAGTCAACCACATTGCTGTGGGTCTGGAGTCACATGTAGGCCAGACCAGGTAAGGATGGCAGTTTCTTTCCCTAAAGGACATTAGGCTGGGAGTTTTAATGTGCCAGGTTCCTTCAAGAACGGACTGCGAGTTTGGATAAGGGGGCATTTTCAGTATGGTAACTTGTAACTAGTGGAATGAAAGTTATTTACAATACACATTAATGACTTGATGAGGAAAGTGAATGTACTATAGCCAAGTTTGCAGATGGTATAAAAATAGATGGGAAGCTAAGTGTTGAGGATGACACAAAAGTCTGTGGAAGGAAATAAATATATTAAGCAAGTGGCAAATAATTTGGTTGATGGAATACAATGTTGGCAAATGGGAAGTTGTGCACTTTGGTAAGAATAGAGAAACTGAGTATTATTTAAACAGGGAATGACAACAATAAACAAGAGAACAGAAGAATTTGGGAGTCCTCATCTGTGAATCACAATAAACTAGCACCAAGTTCAGCACATAATAGGGAAGGCAAATGGAATGTTGACCTTTATTTCAAAGGGAGTGGAGTATAAAATTAGGGAGATTTTGCTGAAACTGTACAAGATACTTATCAAACCACAGCTGGAATACTGTGAGTAGTTCCCTGGCATTTACTGAAGGAAAAATACACTGCTATTGCAGGCAGTCCAGAGAAGGTTAACTGGGCTGGTGTGAAGGAATGAGGAACTGTCTAATGAGGTGAAGTTGTATAGATTGTGCCTGTACTTATTGGAGTTTAGAAGAATGAGAGGAGATCTTATTAACCATACAGGGTTCTTAGGGGACTTAACATGGTCCATGTGGAAAGATTGCTTCCTCTTGTGGGAGAGTCTCTGGCCAGAGGACATCATCTCAGAATAAGGGGTCACATATTTAAGACCCAGATGAGGAGGAATTTCTTCTTAAAAGAGCTTGTGAATTGATGGAATTCTTTACCACTGAGGGCTGTCAAGGCAGGGATATGGGATATCTTAAAGACCGAGATAGATTTTTTTTAAATCGGTAACTAAATTAAGGGTTACAGAGAAAAGGCAAAAAAGTAGAGTTGAGGGTTATCTGATCAACAATGACCTCTTTAAATGGCCGGGAAGAATTGATGGGCTGAATGGCTTGCTTCTGCTCTTACGGAACAGGTGCTGTTTCCAATGTCGTTCAGCCTGCTTACATTCGCGCAGTCACTGAGACACCTCTTCAAAGAAGACTGAAAACATTTCATTCTATCTTGCCAAAATGAAACAAGCAGAGTGAGCGAAGGGTTTGATCAGGATTGCAAGTTTTCCATTGATGCAGAGTATCACTGAATGCTTACACATTGTTTTTTTTAGGCAACTCGAGCCAATTCTGTGATGTATTGCAACGAGAAGAGATTCCAGTCTCACAATGTCCGTTTCGGGGCTGACCATACTCACCATAACACACGCGTCAATACCCAGAAATGCGTCAAACTAGAGAGTGGTTACTTGGCCGGAAGATCTATCCACTGGCCCTATGGCTGATAACTGTGCTGTGCTGAACATACCTAGGCAGATGTGAAAGCAAAGGGGGCTGTCAAGGCTGGAGCATTAAATATATTCAAGGCTGAGAGAGATTTTTTAAATCAGAATGTAAATTAAGCATTATAGAGATTAGGCAGGAAAGTGGAGTTGAGGATTATCAGATCAACCATGATGTTATTGAATGGCAGAACAGATTTGCTGGGCTGAATAGCCTATATAATAGTGCGCTTAATTGTACTGGCACCGACGAGACCAATAGGGAAGGGGTTCTGCTGTATTCTAGGGAGGACATGTGAAGACTCACGGTATTCTGCTCACAGCCTCACTGTCCTGAGGGCACAGACTTTGCTTTGAGAACTCCGGCACATTATGACCTCTCTGCGCACGCACATACAAACATATATTTGCTCATTCTTTCTGTATTCGCTTGTATGTATTAGCTTTTGGGCAAAAAGTCACGGGCAACAGAATGGAATACTACAGTAAATGGCTCGACTCAATATTAACCATAGGATACAATAAGACAGCTGATTGTCAATAAAATATTACATGGAGTAATTTCAATCTAACGATATGCTTTCATTTAACCAGGAAAATATATTTCATTAGAATTTTACAAGAATATAATTTGAAGAAAAATATTGACATTAAGAAACCAAACGGAAATACATTTTTTGTTGCTTTTCCCGGTTGTTTCTAAAGACTAGTTAATGCGAACAAAATAATGAGTTGGGTCGAGGTGTGAAGGGGGACACGATGCTCCTTGCTAGCTTGTTCCTGTTTGCTATGCACCCTCTCTGCTGTCTGCTGCTTTAGTCACTGCCTTGCACAGACGTGCGGTGACGTCGCGCCTCTGCCCGTCTGCTTTAAATGTTTGGTGTTGCTTTTTGCAGAGTCGGACCGGAGAGAGTGAGTGAGACAGACAGCAGGACAAGACGGGACAGCACGCCGGAACCTCGCTTTTGACGGCAGGCAGCGATGTTCGCGAACGTGGGACACGATCGTCCGTGAAGCTTCATCGCGTGTGTTCTATCTCGCCTGAACCCCGTTGGTAAATCCAGCCTTCGCCATGAGCTGTCTGGATGTTATGTACCAAGTGTATGGTCCCCAGCCTTATTTTACAGCAGCTTACAGTCCTTACCACCATCAGGTACGTGGAAGAAGTTGGCAGCGCAGTAACCAGTCATTTGATACAGATACAGATAATGTTATTCCAGTTATTTTTCCCCATTTAATTCAAATTAGCAGTTGATTTATGCAAAGCGCTAACATGCATTCCTTAAATTGCTCCGTGCGTTAATTAACGTTTGCTAGAAAGCTGTGATTGAGGTCGAACTGCTGCGCTGATAAACGACCCGTTCACTCGGATCCCAGTAAAGTTGCGCCAACATACGCAACAAACTTTTACTTCGAGTTTCCTCGCCAGGCAGGCAGACATTCACCCATTCTTTCTTCTGACAGTAAATATCCAACTCTGTAGTCACTGCTCTATTCCAAATAGCGATGAAATCTCGTGGCTCTTATTTTAACAGGTTGCCAACTCTCCGGGGAATTTGGTGGCCCTGTATGCATTGGAAGGGGTGGGGATTGGGGGTTACTCATTAAAAATTGAGCCGTCAAGAATCACTGCGACTTAACCAGTTCTTTCTCGGCGTTTGAGCTTGCAATATAGCTATTTTGTGTGTATAGAATTGAATAGATTGTCAGGACTATCACAATTCATTGAGAAGAAGTTATTACTTACTAACTTTAGAATCAAACCTTAGATTCAGTCGTTGCTGATTCACTTGTTCCATGGCAGTGCTGTGAATGCGGATCCCCCTCTTCTTTCGCAGAAACTAGCGTTTTACTCGAAAATGCAAGAAGCGGCGGACAGTACGAACATCAGTGGGTCATTTTCTGTGCACGGTTCTGCAATCAAAGAGGAGGAATTGCGCAGCGAGAAAGAGCGTCCACCTGAAGCGGAATATCTTAGCTCCCGATGCGTGCTCTTCACTTACTTCCAGGGTGACATTAGCAGTGTTGTTGATGAACATTTTACAAGGGCACTGAGTCAGCCCAGCAGTTACACTCCTGTCAGCAGCGACTCTAAAGCTTCAAGAGGCAGCACGAGTTCTTGGCGAGGTGGGTTCAGTGAAAGCCAGCAATTCACTTCTGATAACAAATTGTTAAACATCCTGCCAACCAGATAGGCAGAAAAAAAAAATTCTTCGAAAGCATAAGTTTCATTCGCTATGTTAATAATCCTGCGGCGTTCTGTAAAATGAAACCCCGATTAAATTGAAGAACTCGTGCAGGAGAGTTGTAAATAATGCCCTGTTGGAAATTCTATTACATTTTGATTTTCACGCCAGTAAACACTGTGCGCAAAAAATTAGATATTGGAGTGATGGTATAAATTAACAGCGCAACCTAACCGTATCAAGATCTATTCACTAATGGTACGCTGGACCCGATGTCTGCAAATAACATATTGGATAATCGCGAGTGTGCTCTTTGCAATTTTATCGTGCACTTGTAGCAAGGATTAGACTGGTATGGCCTATCCAAGCCACTTTATCTTCGGTTTCAATTACACACAGCGTCTCTTGGACTTTCTTCCATCTGGGTTGTTAATCTTAAAAGTTCACTATATCACCCACCCCGTGCTATATTATCATTCAACTTTTCGTTTCATTCGTTTCAGTCATGTACCTGGTGTGAATGTTGCAAGTAACAATCGCCTTACTTTCGACAGCTCTTACAGTTTCACTAAATTGTTTGTAAATTCAGAAACTGTACAGTTTGCAACACAGCCTCCCTAGCACCGAGGGGCCACTTCATTTATTGCGAACGGATGTTTTATACAAATTGACACGCATATTGTTGAACTTCTGAGTTTTGAGCTATCATTTGTTCATGTTCCTCTTTGTTGATATTGCTGTTGGCAACCGAAAGTGAGTTTTAAACGACAGTGGCCAGCGATTATTCTCTACTTGACTTTTCAGATGCCCATAAAGAATGACCTCATCTAAATTTTGAATGCAATAAGAATGTAACAACGCGTTTTTTTTTTCAAAATAAACCTGTTAATTCTCACGTGTTCCACTTTCAAGTAGCTCTTCAGAACACGGTATTCCTAAATTGAATTTGATCTCATTCCTTGAAAGTAATGCCTGTTTCAACGGAACCCGTTATTGTATCGAGGTTTGATACAATGTCAAATGTTTGATACACTCCATGTCAAACAACATAGAACAGGGAGAAGACTTTTCGTAAAATATTTCGAAAGGTATTTTGCAAAGTGAAAATGTGCGATTCTTTAACATAATGTTGCCTAAATTGTTTGTACCTATATTTAAACCGTGCTATCGATGAGGCATTTAAACCACGTTTCATGAGGAAAATTATTTTCATTAAATAACTTTCACCAAGTAACATGGAATATCGTATTCTAATTGATTTGTTAAGAATTGTGTTAATTTAGGATTATTTATTAATTCCACAGTAACTGGCTTCAATTGAAGTTTTTATGCTAGTTGATTGTATTTACTGTTGTTAATAATTATTGATAATTCCATTGCCTCTTCCCTCTTTCCAGATGGCGCCTTCCCAATGAACCAGCGGAGTTTCCCTCCATCTTTCTGGAACAGTGCTTATCAACCCTCCATGTCAGCAAGCCTAAGTAGCAGTTTAGGCAGTGCATTAGCTGGAGCTCCCACTGAGCTGCCTTTTGGAGCTGACCCATATTCAAGTGCCTCTTTGCACACTCACCTGCACCAAGGAGCTCCTGAGCCCTGGCACCACCATCATTATTCATTGGGCAGTGCCATGAACACGCAGAGCTCTGTCTACACACGGCCTAGTATGCATGATGTATATGGGATGGGTGCACCTTTTGACCCACGCTACAGTTCACTGTTAGTGCCTTCAGTGAGGCCACATCGGTTTCCTGCTGTCCCTACACCCCAGTGTGATCTGGTCAAGAGTGACACTGCCTCCGCATGGACCACAGGGGCCTTCACAGGGCCAACCAGTGACATGAGCCAAACCCTCAACCTCAATGTGGATGCAGGTAAATACTTCCAAAGAAAGTGCATGCAGCTGAGAATGTTTGTGCTCTGTTGATGTAAAAGCAACTTGTATCATCAGGTGAAAAGAATACGTAAGTGTATTCTGTTACAGAGAGAATAAAATGAGCACGACATAATCATTTCAATAAATATTAGGCAATTCTGCAATGGTCTATATGTAGTTGCACTACCTACTGCATAGCTAAATCGTGCAGACAGAAAACTCTCAGATTTGATGCCTGGTTTAATAATTTCTTTATTCTTTCATAGCATGTGGGCATTATTAGCAAGAGTAAAATTTGTTGCCCTTTCTTAATTATCCTTGAAAAGCTGGTGGTGAGCCAACTTTAACTGTTGCAGTCCATGTGATGTGCGTACTTCCGCAGTGCTGTCAGGAAGGGTGTTGGAGGATTTTGATCCACAACAGTGAAGGAACAGTAATATAATTCTAAGCCAGGATGATGCACTTATAAGAGAGCTTTCAGTTGTTCGAGATTCCATGCATCTGCTGCCCTTGTCCTTCAAGGTAGTTGATGTCAATTGTTTAGAAGGTGCTTCAAAGGAGCAGCAGTGAGTTGCTGCACTGCATTTTTTGGATTGTGTGCACTGCTATTTGTGGTGAAGAGATTGAACATCTAATGTGGTGAATTCAGTGCCAATCAACCGGGCTGCTTTGTCCTGGAATGTGTTCAGCTTCTTCAGTGTTGTAGGAATGAACTATTCACACAGGAGGAAAGTATTCAATCAGACTCCTGACTTACATTTGGTAAACGATGGACAGGCTTTGGGGAGTCAGGGGATGAGTTATGATCATCATATTTCATTGTCAATATCTATGGAGGTGCCAGGACTAGCATCAAAGCCCTGGTATGAATCAAAATCAATACTTGCTGAAAAACACAGAACTCTGTGAGATTAAGCTAGGATCAGACTCAAATGTGATATGTTTCACAGTGAAACTATTGTTCTCCATATTCACTCCTGGCAGATGTTTGGTAAAGAGTTGGCACCCATGAAACTATATTATATGAGTGAGCACCTTTAAAAAGAAGAGGACAAACTCTAAATTAAATAATTGCCAGAGATGTAATATAAGTTTTGTATCTCTTCTATGATAGCAGTGTCCTCTTATAGGCAACAAGTGCTACGGACCAACCCTTTAGCCCAGGCTATCAAATATGGTGCTTGTATTATAATTTATTTTGGAAATATTATTCAACCACAGTGCCCATAATGGTGAAAATTTAAAGAGGTTTACATTGCTGTGAATTTAGATATCCCTCTACAATCTAGAGGAAACCATGTAACATTGAACAGTTGTTCAGTTCTATTGAAAAACAGTAGCAACTAAAATACTGTTTTAGTTTTACCGAGAAATTAAGGAAATGAATAAAAAAAACAGCAATTTAATTGCATTAAAATTGTGTTTTAAATGCCTGAAACTTACAAGGGACAAAATTGCAAAAAGTAACATTTAGAAATTTTGAGGTCCAGGACCTGTGAAAAATAAATGAATTTGACATCTACTGAGAAAGAAGATCATGCAGGTCAGTTAATTCTCAGTTTGGAGGAACAAGAACATTGATATCCTAGTGAATCAATTAATTTTCTAATCTTCCTTCTGCAGATTGCTTGTCAGAGCTTTTATTAGTGTGATCAACAATTTCCTTGGAGCTCTGTGAAATGTACAGAGTAATCCATAACACTAGACTGAGCATTGCAGGATCAGTTGACAGTAATATAGATTTGAATGACAAATAATGGAATGTTTTACAGTAGTATTTTTTTTTACATTGTAGTAGTAATCTGATCGAAGTATTTAGATGATTAAATGGTTTGATTTCAAATCTTATTCACTATTTGAATGCCAAGATAAAACTATTATTTCATGTTTGCGTACCGGACATACATTATCATTTCGTACATACATTTTGGTGTTTTCTAATTATTCTGTTTTCATTGATTATCTCCTTGATATGGATGTCAGTTAAGGGTAAAGATAATGCTATGTGATATTGCATGCATATTAAATCCTGAACTCCAGTATGTGAACTCCAGTATCAGAAATTTATGAAATAACAAATTTGTTGAAACAGTCATAGTCTGTATGTAAATTTAGTAATGTGTATGGAGAAATAATTAAACTTTGTTGTTTAGCACTCATGGTTAATCTTCCTGTCAGGGTTTAATCTCAGTTTGAAGTTATTCTGTGCTGACTGGCATAAAGATTACTCTCTAACTAGGGAATATTTCAGTAATGTTATAAAGAGGTAAATAAACGTGACGATTAAAAATCTGAAATTAAAATCAAATATAATAGAAACATAGAGTGGATCTATCAATAACTACAAGAAATTACAAATGGAAATCTTGCTATAGTAATAGAGCTCTTGAAACAAAACTGGCTTAATACATTTAGTTTGAGTTTTGTCAAGATTTTGGAAATAATTAAACACTAGTGAGTATACTATTTCAAACAATGAATAAATAAGATACAGCTTAAAAACAATACTTCAGAAAAGTATTCCAAATATGTTGGTACTAAAATGTACTTCTTTAGGAGGAAAAAGAATGTAGGACTGGAAAAATGACTAACACAACTATATTCAAGTGGTACTGGTTGGTATGGATTGAGCACACCTAAAAGAAAAATCATGATCATTAAAATATCCTTTTATAGACAAATCTGATGTAATCTGAATAGAAACTTTAGCCTTTATTAAAATAAAGTGAGCAAAGAAATGAAAGCTTTTATTTTAGTGGAGACACAAGCAGCAAATGTTAATGAAAATCTGGGGATTCTTTACTTTTTCTGTTAGATTTCCAAATGAAAATCAGCCTGATGGTGTCAGGAACAATAGTGCTCAATAGTCAGTCAGGCTGTATGATTACTCATTGCAAATAATAATAGTACATGTTACAATGAAAATGAATATTATCTTTGGCAGTACTAACTGTTAAAAAGTGTAATTGAAAACCTTTGGATTCAAGAGTTGACTTATAGAAGAATGCTACTTAGGAAGGAAAATGTGATGAAACCTTGCGAACTGAATTGCCTACCTTTCAAAATTCTGCTGATCAATATCATATGATTTAGTCTGAAAAGTATCAATACACTGTGCAATGAATAAATTCTTATGTTCTTAAAAGATAGATTATGTGTAGGATTTTATCGAATTAAATTGTTCGAAGAAAAAATTGATCTTGTACAATGGACCATCATTGACACCTTGAGGTAAATATTTTGCACTGCTAACAGATATTTACAATAATTGAGTGTTTATAGTTTTATCACTAAGACTGCCTCTACACTTTGTACCAATATAGATATAATGTAAAACCAGCTTTAGCTTTCTGTGTCAAAAGTATACTTCAGAAATTTGGGTTCATGGTTAGGAACATGCTTGCAACATTTTCATGAACAGTTGTGTTATCCAGAACTCCATGCTGTATAAAGTAAAGATGTAAATGCACCCTATAGTTTGATGTTATACTTCCAGCAACACATCACATTAAAGTTAAGAGGAAATTGTGCATGTGTTTGGAAGTATACAAGGAGGGTGGCTCAACATACACCTACATTTTTATTTTTATGGCATAGGAATTCAAGTATGATCAGGAATATTCACGTTTCACATATTAAAAATATTACAATAGAGTTTATAAAGGCCCCAGAAAAGCAAAGGGCTAAGATAGGGCCAGATCATTATTCAATCAAGCAGTTACTAAAGGTAGTCTCATACCTTAGGTTTTAATGTGTCATAGATTAAAGCTAAATCCTAACAAATCATCTTACTTTCAGAATGGTACATGCACAAAAGCACTTCACATCTCAGTGATTTGGTCAATAACAGCAAAGTTATTTCCGATGTTTCATATCATGTCTTATTTCACTTGATTAAATTTAAGTTGAGAATTGCTTATGTATTTAAATTGAATTATTTTCAAAACTAACACTTAAATGTTATTAATGCTCTTGCTGCATGCAAGTGGTGTTACTGCCATCTGCCAGTGTCAGACTTGTGTAGTCCAGAATCAATTGAACCCTGGTTAGATACCTCTGTTTCTCTGGCACAATAGTGCCCCTTAATCCCAATTTTACAAGAATGCCTCCTGCTGCACATAGTCATTCTAAGGCCTCTGCGTGAAATACACCAAAAGATGAACATCATGTGCCTCTGAGATATTTGGGGATTGTCTTGTGGCGATTTATTAAAGTTATTTTTTGTAGTTGGCATAGAGAGGATCTATTAGTTTAGATTGGATTGAAACACAGGCTTTAAATATGAAGAGGTAATATGTTAACAGACAGCACTATTCCTTTCCTAACCTTACCTGTATCTCATTCTATTGCACATTTCCCAGTAGTTGTAACTTGATCCCTATGTTGCTTCTTATCAACAGTCAATGAAATAGCTCTGTCACAAGTATCCAACATGATTCTACCCTATAAAATTAAACCATGGCCGCAGGAATACAACTACAAATGTAGACATTGCACAAAAAAATGCGTGTCTACATAACACAATTCGATAAATGTACACGAAAGACGCAGAGATATGTCCAATTATGTATGTTATTAACAGTTCTGTTGTGACTGACAGACAAGTAGTCAGGTATAAATTATCGAGGGCAAATGTTTTGTTAAACATTGAAAATAGATGCCGCCGAAATGATGTTACCCTTTTCTGAAAGTCGACACATTTAGGAGCGGCTTGTTCATAAAATACCGAAGTATTCAAAGAAAGGAACTATAAACCGAGGCAAATGGAGACCATCCGGCGACTGTTTCAATCAGCGTTTGCCACATATCCTCATCACGTTGCTTCAGTTGCAGAAACGTTTGTTAAAGCCGCACGCAGCATTCTAAATTTGCAATCAGAATTATTTAATAACCCAAATTGCGAGACTTTACGTCCCGACTGCAAATAATTCTCTCTTTTAAGCAGAGAAGTGCCGTTGACTGAATGTTACGTTAGCCAAAAGTAGCAAGTTATTTGCATATTCAGAATTGTTTTCACAGTTCGATATTGTTTATCCTCGTTCTATCTCTTCAGGCGATCTGAGGAATACTGAGGGTGTGTGGACAGCATATTGATCTTTATCAGATCGATTAAATCAGCAAAACTTTACAAGCGCTAATTGCAACGTACAGAGGGCAAGCCAATTGTGATCCCTATTCGTCTTCCCTGAGAAAGAGATATACGAAATGTTTAGACATGTCTATATTTTCAGCGCAGCTTGATTTCTAAACTATCTTAATATCTGTGGACATTACAGCAGGGGTCTACCTTGAAAACATTGGAATTTATGTCTGTTGTTTTCAGCGAAGCTTTTTTAACTTGTATGTTTTATGGCAGCGAAAGGAAATTCGAAATAAGTTAAAACAAATTTAACTATGTGAAAAGTTTAAATGACAATAGGTGGGATCTAAAAGGCCGTATCAGCTACCCGCCCTGGGATATTTCATCATGTTAAGGACGCTAAATGAAGGTGTTATTGTTGTTGTATATTTCTCCTACTATTGAAACATAACAGATTTATAACATATTCCTGTAGCAGTTAAATGAGAAATGAATTTTTTCCATGCTCTGTACTCAGGCGCGGTATTCCTCTCGGCTTTTGGTGTACCCTGTTCAATTATCACTATCTCCGCGTGTTGCGGTGTGAGCTCACTCTCTCTATCTCACTGTTTCAATGCTTATTTATTCCAACTTTCAGAGCGTAACTCTAACTCTGTAACTCTGTCCCTGTTCTGCTCATATATCCTTTCCACTTTTTTTTGTTTTTTTTACATTCTCAGGTCTGGCGCACCAGGAAAAAAACAAGGATCTTTACTGGTTTTAGAGCACTCACCATCTACCTCGTTCGGCTTCCCTGTATTTTCTACCTGAAACATTTCTCTTCCTCTGTGTACAGTGTGTAACAGATTTTGATCTCGGTTTCAGCTCGCCGTTACTCCCTTTGTGGTGGACCTCTGTTAAGCTGAGTGTTATACACAGCAAAACGCTTCAATCAAAAAAAAACAATTACTTTTAAAACTGCAAACTTCTCACACGGTTGACAAACTGTGGAAGCTGACTGTTACTGTCTACGTTGAAAAGGACAAGACCCCCAACATCTGAGGGACACTACAAGAAGGAGCGGTTTTGAAGTGGTTGAGCATTTTCAGAAAAGTAATCATTCTTTTTTTATCAACGAAAAACCCAAGCGGCTGAACCAAATTCTGTTTGATCGATACCTTGAATGTGCGTACCGGGCTTTCAAAACTGGACTATAACTGCACTGGGACCTTCCGATAGACTCCATAATGCTCGTCGTGATTAAAATGCAAGCAGTTTTGTTTTGTTCCAGTGTTGATTGTGACAGGACTACTAAAGGGAAGTAGTGACAAATGTTCGATGTTAAAAATGGGCAGTTAAACTGGGATAAGCTGCCACACTCTCTGCAAAGCCCAAGCCTTAGTCCCGGAGCCACATGTATTTCAGTAATGGCTAGAGCTCCAGCAGCTCTCTGTGCGGGACTGCCGCACTCCCAGTCAGGACAACTCAAGATCTCTGAAAGTGGCGGAAACAAACTGTTTTGGGGGAGGTGGGTGGGAAGTGGGGACGTTATGAATGCCAATTTCAAGTTCCATCAAGATATTTTTTCTCTCTCTCTGACAGATGAACTCCAGTTAATAAATTCTGTGTGGCCTCCTTTTCTGTTGTTGTTGCCTCTCGTGTTCTGAAGGTGTTCTGGAGAATTGTTTTGTAACTGGCAAACACGCTGAGTCTGGTCATTGGCGGAATAAAAGTAGTTCATTTACCTCTGTAAAAAAGAGACTGTATAAAATTGTACTGTTTCGACACGGTTCGTTCTCAAGTGTGAATATGCGTTAACTTTATTTCCATGTGTCGTTTGAGTAAGTGAATTGAAGCCGGGAGCTGGACTGTGGACATTTATTGCCATTTTGGGTTGAGCAAATTGGTAGAATTTACAAGCAAATATTGTACATTACAGAATAGCTACGCGGAGACGTTCATTAATTATGAATGTCTTGTTTCAACAATAACAAAAGTAATTTATTTAAGAGACAATCGGGAATGAGAAGAAAACGTTAGATAGGGCCTAGACAGCAGTGAGGGGAGGAAAAGCTGCCGGGAAACCAGCAGCTCAGTGGCGTCCCTTCCAAGAAGCAAGGCCCTGCCCTGTATCTAGAGTTCGAGCCTTTCATTGTGGTGAAAATAAATATTTCTTACTTCCCCCTCCCACGGGTGCTTTCTCTCTGGCTGTTACACTGACTAGATCTTTTGAGTGTTTCTGCTGGGCCTAAGCTGACGTGTACAAATTATTGAGTATTGACTCGGCTCTTTAGCGTTGGAACCTCATCGATATTAACCACACCGTCCCCTTCAAAGCTACATAGCTCCTCCGCCACCCCCTTAGCCCCTGTCCTTACAACTGATTTTTAAAAAGAACCGTTTGTATAGATTTACATCTGAACGAAGCTTCCTTCGCAGCCTGACACTGTTTATTTGGCATTAAGAACAAGTTGGGGAGTTGAGAGGCATTTCTTTTAAATGTGAGGTCCATGTGAGTGAGATTCAGTATCTTCTCATCTGGGGACGAGGCCAATGACAACAGGGACTGAGCGGTGGTTGCAGAGAAAGCGTCTGTTGTCCGCGGTGTTTCTAAGCCCTGCCGATCTCACTTGTGGGATGTGTGCATGGTGTTATCGGCTCGGCGGTGCCGATCAGACCGTTCCCCGCCCACTCACTTTCCCATTCACAAAATCGCGGGTTGACGAGCCAAGGTCAGAATTTTCCCCTCAATGTTTCTGTCGTTATTTCCTTAAAGACACCCATTCCGTCTAATCCATTCATTTTATCCCAAGTAGATTCGATGCGGTTTGCCTCTCTGAGAACGGTCTGGAACAAGTGGCACCAGAGCAGAATAAGGTTTGATGTGAAATTGCCCAACAGTGAATTTCCGCCCGTCAAATGTCAATATCAGGCCGTGTAGACCCAACCAGGTCGGAACATAAAGTCGGCATGAACATGGCGACGTTGGAGACATAAATCTGGGCAGGTTTGTGTTGAATGCAAATGTGCTGAAGGAATTGTGAAAAAAGAAGATGGGATGGGAATTTGTTTTGTAATAGTTCACTTGGCAAGATTACACGAGCCGCTGTGATTTTAGGAATGATGCGTCTTTGCACATCACAATTCTGTGTCTGGTGCAAAAAGCGTGGTGACAAATCGCTGAAAGTGCGGCATTTTTGAATTTACCCGGATATGATACTGAGAAGACATAGCTGTCTTTTCTCAGGCGCGGTTGCAATGGCCTGTGAAATGAATCGGTTCCAAGGTGCCTGATATCTGAGAGGCAGCACTCGCTGGCTAATGTTTCCACGGCTGGGATATTTGCAAAGTTAGCGCATAATCTGAAAGTAGAAACTAATAAATTATTGGGTGCTAATTGGGGCTAGAATACGGCCGTCAGTCAGAGCCAGCTCCGCTACCCAGTCCTCATACCCTAAAAAGGAAAGGGAACTCGACCGAAACAGCACCGTTGCCTGCAAGAAATGACCTCTTGGTCCCGCTTTACATTTCAAGCCGAGCAGGCAATCTTGGATGGCATGGTGTGCTCCCTGTAGGCCAGAAAGGACAGTATTACAGGCGTGCTTCACGTAGCTAGTCGACACATGAATACGCCGTGTCGTCTCCAGTTAAAATTGCTCCTGTCTTCGGTTCTGAGCCGTCGCCGGTCCATGACTAGTCAATATACGAGGGCTGGTTTCAAATATCTCGCGTGCAGCCCCGAGGATGAGGAATTGGGTTATTTTGATCGTTTCTAAACTATTCGCGTACGAATATATTTTATCGATCAGCTGAAAACAAAACAGCCCTGGTGGAACCACAGCACCGTAAAACACTGTGTAGTTCTTTAGGCTTGTGAATGTTTTACGAAATGTAATAAACCGGCTATGGACAACCTCAGAAAATCTCGCTACTATCCGAGAGTTGGCTTAATTATTACCATAGGTTTGTCCTTTTCTAACCCCCACCCCCACCAACCCCCCGCCACCAACTCACTAATGAGGATATGCAATGTTAGACAAGGGGGAAGATGGCAAAGAAGTAAGGCGATTCTATTCTATTGAATGTTCTATTCAAATCTGTCGTTGTTAATTTAGAAAGGTAAACTACAAACTAAAAACTGTTGTAAAATGATTTTCATCTCTCCACACAAGCGGATATCTTTAACATAAGTTTTGATGTTTTCTCCTGAAATCTTAGCACTCCTCATCTGAATTATTCGGGCATTGTGTCAATAAATTTAAATATTAAACATATGGAAAACATTTTGTCCATTCAGTACACCGCTCGCCTCAATCGGAATCCATGCTGAAATTATATCGCCACCAAAACAGCATTAAACAGCAGTGTAAGTGACTACAGAACAGTTCCAGAATCGAGAGCCAACCTGACTTCCTATGAGCAGGCGGTGCGATGCTGCGTTGCGTGTCTTGAATTTGAGACCTCTGCAGTTGTAGAGTTATAGAGGTCTATAGCACTGAAAGGGCCATCGAATCTACACCAAGCAAAATCAACCACATATTCTAATCCCAATTCCCAGCACTTGGGTCATAGCCTTGTATACCTTGGCATTGCATCCAAATACTTCTTAACTGTTATGGTGGTTTCTGCCTCTATAACACGTATAGGCAGTGAGTGCAACATTCACACGGCCCTTTGAGCGAAAAAAAATCCTCACCAAGTTTAGAATTCAAGTTAGTTTAAAGAGTGTTCCGGAGATCGATTAACTTGGGGGCAGTTTGCAAACGGGAGGACATTTGAGGTGAATGTTGTGTGGTATTATTGCCATCAGTGCTCTGATTTACCGACCAGGAGCAGAGCTGTGAAAGTTGTAGGCAAACAACGCTGCAGAGGGCTCGGTCCTGGACCTGATTACTATAGGTTTGTTTTATTTCTCCCTTAACTCACATATGAAGACATATAAAGTTATTTAACTTCATACTTATAACATATTCCTATAACGGGCAGTACAATACAGTACGCTACAGAAATTGCCGGAGAAACTCCGCAGGTCTGGCAGCATCTGTGGAGAGGGAAACAGAATTAACGTTTCGAGGCCAGTTGCCCCTACTTCAGATCTGGAGAAAGGTGGCTGGACTCGAAACATGAACTCTTGTATTTTTTTTCTCTCTCTCTCCACAGATGCTGTCAGACCGGATGAGTTTCTCCAGCAATTTCTGTTTTAGTTTTAAAAGATGCCCGAGCCGAGTACCCCGATGCTGATTGGAAGTTGGTCCAAGACTGTGCACAAGCAGCGCCTCCACAGGCAACTTGTCCAAGCGAAAGGACCGCTGCCGCCTCATCAATAGCGCCCTCAACATAAACTCTGGCTGGCTCGGTGGTGTAATGTGCGGGCTACAGGAAGGAGGAGCAGGGTCGCTCAAGACCGTGGTTTCAAGTTACCCGTGGTAGTGGTGTGGGAGGGAATGAGGAGTTTCAAAGGAGTTAGACTGAGACAATGGAAACTAGACACGAGGGACATGTGACGAGCAGTTGATTCGACATCGCCCATTTCAGACTCTTTCCGAAAGTCTAACTGACTGCCACTATACAAAATAGATACAAAAGTAAAATTGTTTTTTTCCTAAAAAGCATCTAATTCAGCTGTTGGATGGAGGTGAAGCTTGTTACAATTCAATACCAAGGTCAAATCTGAAATAGGGAAGTCTATTGTCCTTTTGTTTTCCCATTCAGCCATACAACGCAATCCCAACCTGAATTCGTTGACCTCTAACAGTCAAGTATCTCTATTTTGAACCAAGATGTCAATTCACTCTCCCTTTAAATGACAGACTCAGGACGATAATGGGATTCTTTGTGTTAAACTGTGATCCTATTCGCGTCCACCTTCCCCACCCCACCCTCGCATCAAATGTCATCTGGATTCAGCTGTAAGAAATTTCTAGGTTGAACTGTAGAAAAAAAGATCAAAAGTTGAGTCACACAACAGCCCGGACTTTCCGTCCATTTATTTAAAAGGCTGGAGTTACATCGAGCTGGTTCTGTTACAAACTTGCCAACCGCCCAGCCCTTTAATCTCACAGTGATGCATGCCTACGCGTATTGTGTGAACTTCTTACAGATATATAGGGACCACTTCAAAGGAAAAAACAACTTCCTGATTCTCAAACTTTGCCCACCATCAACAAGACATAAGTCAGGAGAATAATGAAATGTTCACTATTTGCCTGGATGCGAGCAGCATCAAAAAACAATGGAGAAGTCCAAGGCAACCACTGACACTGCGCCAGCAATGTGTAACATCTACAAGATACACCAAGGCTACTTCAACAGCATCTTGCAAACTGGCAATCTCTACCATCTAGAAAGGCAATGTAGCAGATGCAGGGGTACATCAGCATCCGCAAGTTCCTCTCTAAGTCACTCACCATTCCCAGTTGGAACTATATTGACATTTCTTCACTGTTGCTGAGTCAAAATCCAGGAATTCTCTCTGAAACATCACATCACAATAACTTATCTTAAAACGTACTGAAAGTCAGATATAGATAATGCAAAAAAACACATACACATTCTGTAAGAGATGATCAAAACCAAGTGAGATTGATTTAATAAATGCTCCCTACTGACATAAAGTAGTCCAAAATGGATTTAATGTCAACATAATGCATGGAGTGTAATTCCATTATGCCGACAGGATTAAATTGGGAAATTGCCAATTGAC